GGTGGGATCGAAGGGTTTGTGCAATTTTTCCATATTAATACCCTTTTAAGTGTTTTGCAGTCAATTATGTAATTCAATTCATTAATTACTTATCATCATGTTTTCGTACGTTGTGCTGCGTGTGAGTTCTGCAATGTTCAGTGTGCAACTACAAAAATTTGCATGTGTAATGGGGATGGTATCAAACTATCAATCAGTGTGTACGAAATGTATGCTTACTGTGGCTGATGAACTTCCTCTGGTCCTTCACCAATCCTCTTACCCCCCCCCCCCCTTTTTTTTACAAGTGTCTAAGTTAATTTCTTCGCACTTTTACTAATCTCCTTTCCGGTCTAATTGAAGATAGATCATTCACATCAAAATTGAGGTATTCATAAATATTTATGAGAGATTAAAAAGTTGTCAAAATTTAAACTCAAGATATTTGAAATACGTGTTAGAGCTCACAATTCTTATTCAATTTGTCAATTTGTAATTCGGTACCAAATCGATGGAAATTATATCATCTTAATAAATAAGTCAAGTTCATATGCATAAAAATATTAAACCATTCTACCATTGTATATAGTAGAGTGGCAAATAGGTGGGATGGGTTGGTTATGGGTTGTTTTAAATTGGATTGGACTAAAATAAATCCATTCATTTTTTACTCATGTAATAAAGGGTTATAATGGGTTGAGTTTATAACAAGTTGGGTTAAATCGATTAACTCATAAAATAATTAAAATTTTTAATGAACACATTAGTACATCAAACATACACACACATTAGTAATAGACCAAAATACAAACATACACACACACACTAATACACCAAAACACACACAAACTAATACACTAAAAATATACAATAACACACCAAAAATACACACACATATATTAACACAATAACTAAAATACATTTAGTAAAAAAAATACAAAAATAATGGGTCGGGGTGATTGCAGGCTATGGGTTATGAGTCAACTCATAGGGGTCGCGGTCCGGCCCATGGGGTTGTGGGTCATGGGTTGACCCGTTGGTCATGAGTGGCGTATTAGTGTGTGTTTTTTGTGTACTAATGTGTGTATATTTTGGTGTATTAATATATATTTATGTATTTTTTGGTGTAATAGTGTGTATATTTTTTGGTATATTAGTATATTTATTTAATTTTATTATTTGTGTTATTTAATAAAAAGATAAATACTCAACTCAATGGGTACTCATTTATAATTATTAAAAACATAAATACTCAACTCAATGGGTACTCATTTATAATTTATATTAATCCGTTTAATTAAAATGAATGATATTACCCAATCTATTTAGAACTCATATTAATTAATATATGTACCAAACCCATTAATTTATGGGCAAATTAGACAGATTAATAGATAATGAGTTAAAATTATCACCTCTAATATATAGTCAAGTTTTATGTTCAATCTATTAAAAAAAAAGTCGATATGGACTTAACTATGTATATAAAAATATTATTATGCACAAACCTTTGACTTAGTTATATAAATGTGAAGGCATTTTGGTTTAACACCAAGTTGTCAACACCCCCACGAAGCATTCTTGTCTCTTGGCTTTGAATTCATCACCTGTTCATTGGCATGAAAGAGAGCCGGAGGGGGAAACAAGAAGCCAAACGTTCCTTAGCTTCTCTTTGGCGATTGCTTTGATGATGTCCAATGGCATTTGTCATTTATGATAATAGGTGACAGTTGTAATGAATAAAGTTGGAGGTTTGTGATTAGTCTAATAGTCACCGCTTTTTTTGTTGTCGTTAAGATGCGGATTTAAATTTTATCGTTTCTTTTTCTGTAATAGTATTTGACAAAAAACAAATACTAGATACAACTTAAAATTGTCTATCTAATTAACGAAGTGAAAAAATAGAAGAAATTAATCTGTAGGGGTGACCTAGTAGTTGAGTTTGATCTTTGATGACCCAAAAATCTCGGGTTCAATTCTTTTTCGTATCTTTTAAAAGCTAACCGTCATTTTTCTCTTTGTCTCTTTAGGGGTATGTTTTAACTCATCCTTTAATAGCAAAAAAAAAAAAAGAAAAAAAAAATTAGAAGACATTCAACAGGATTAACACATTTGAAAAATTTCATCGGATTGATATTAATTTCTTTTAGTTATAATTAGACCTCCAAACTTTTGCATGGTAAATTACAAAAAATTATAGTATTGTATTTTTTTTTTTGCTGATTAAAAAAAAGGGCGGGGTAAGGAAGAGCGTCTAACAACCACCCTGATAGAGTCTCACCGGTGAGATCATAAGTCCTGTAACTGCAACTGGAGCACCTCCTCGGATCAGATTTAGTTAGACTAGGATTGTAGTTAACCACCAAGTCTCAATGGAGACTCCAAGACCCAAACTCTCAACTTTAAAATGAAAAATAAAATTAATACCTCACTAAACCACTCTACTTAATGGTTATAGTATTGCATTTTCTTCGGTACCGGTAAAGCAAATCTCGAAGGATTAAAGAGCCACCCTTAGGTGGTTCTGCGTCAAGAGTTTGTTAAGAAAAATTGAGAAAATTAGATCGCCACGTAACACATGAGCATAAGAGTAATTTGATGTAGAAGCATTGAAGTTTGACATTTCACCTCACCAAGACTCGACAATACTCAGAAATCTTTAAATTAATGCCCTTGCCACGTGGATACATATTTTAATATCCACGTGTCACTCTAACACTGGTCAGAAAACGTGGCCTAAGACAACTCCAACACCTACCCCCTGTTTTTGGTTAATTCTGACCGACTTCCCAGGTGAGTCAAATTTTCAATTACCAAAGGCTATTTTCGTCAAATTACAATTCACATTCCAAATTTACCCTCGATGTAATATTTTTGAACAGAACTGCCCTCCAAGGCCAATGAGTTGCCTCTGAAACTCTCTCTCTCTCTCTCTCTCTCTCTCTCCCGTTGGATATGGGTATATTCCCCGGCACGATTCTCTGTCTAGAACAGTAACAACCATTTGCCACCACGTAACGTATATTAAAGAGAGAGACCTATAGAGGCACTTATACACAGCCGTTTATTATTTTTCTTCTGCATCTAGCTTTTCATAGATTCCCAAGTTCTTTTTCCACATTATTCTGAGGTAATGTTTCTATTGATTCCCATTGTTTTGTGGGTTTTCTTTATTTTTTTTTACTATTTCATCTGTTATGTTGATCTTTTCATGGTTCTATTTAGTTTCTGGGTACTTGTTGATTCTGATTTCTTGGGTATTTTTAATTTTTGGGTGCAAGTTTCCTGATTTTTTTATTGTTGGTATTGAGTTTTCAGTTTGTTGACGAGTTTGTTAAACCAACTTTTTAGGTGGTTAGTAGGGTCAGTTGCTAATTTTATATATTTTTTTTGGTCAGCTAATTTTATATGTTGGTATGGTCCTTTTTGATGTGTTTTGAACAGATGTTGTGTGTTTTAATCCGGGTATGAAGATTTAATGCTCACAACTTTCATCTCTTGCAACACATATGGTTAAAGATTTTGTCTTTTGAAAGATTTGGGTGAAAATGGGAAAATGTTTTCTCTAGCAGTTTTTTGATGCATTCTAAAGCATATTTTGGTTTTCATTTTGCCATCTCTTTGATGTTTAGTTTGAGTGATTTGATTTCTGATGGGTCAAAAAGTATTACTGGATGACGAAATTCAGGGCAACTAAAGAATGCATCTGTTAGCTGATTTGCTCTATTTTTCAAGTGCGGTTAGACCATATTTCTTTTTGGTAGAGATTTTGATTTAAGTTAGATTAATCCTTATTGATTAATGTGTCCGCTAGGTTTTCTTTTGCAGTTTTGTTAGCTTTATTTTCCTTTTTTGATAAAACTGAAATTCAGTTAAGGTTTACATAATGGCTTCATTCCTAGAAAATTTATTCCAATTTGTCCTATTTTGATGGAAGGAAAAGCAATTTTTTTGCAATAAATATACCTGGATCTAGTTCTATACTTGGAAATTGGAATGCCGCATACTCATTGCTATATGAATCACAACGGCATATCTCACCCACTCTGGATGTAATTTTATCCTCATAATGATGCACACCCATTGTCATATAGTCAGAATCTCTCTGCATATAAAATTATATACTTAGGTATGTATGTTGTCACAAAGGGTTTTGAGTTTGCAGCTTGTGTTGATTGGGCTGTCTTTCCAGCTTTATGCTTCGTCATGGTCTTGTTAAAAAACGTCCTGCCTGTTTATCTTGCCCTGTTATCACATTTTTCTTATTTAGTTTCTGCTAATAAGTATTCTCACTGACTGAAGACGTGAAAATGCAGCGGTGTTGCTTTTCCCTGTAATCTGATGGCATGTCATAGCCCATGATCTGGGATAGGGGTTTGTGAATGGCTACTTCAGCTGGTTTGCATTTATTATAAAGGTTTTGATGATGATGGCGGCTTATAGTTAGCAGTGGTGAAAACTTTGCTAAATGGTAATCCAATGATCTTCTGATGCCTTGATTGGTGTATCTACTAACATGGAGTAGATCGAATTGACCTTTCCAGGGTCAGAGTTGTTGTACTGGTGTTTAATCTTTGACTAAATTATTGCCCGGAGCCCAAAGAATCTGGCCATTGACATAACCTTGTGGTAACATACCTGTTCTTATCTCAAGTTTTAGGAGTGATTAGCGGGAGTACTTGTGTTACCAATACTGAGTACCTGGCATTAACCAATTATACTGGAATGGAGACATTATTTTTACCTCATGGCCAAAAACAGAATGTGCAAAATTCTGCTAGCAAGTCCTTGAAAGATCTGTGGCTTGTTGTACGCGAAGGGTCTGTGGCTGATGTTGATTCGGCTTTGGCATTATTGAAGAAGAATGGGGGAAATATCAATTCAAGGAACGCATTTGGCCTCACGCCTCTACACGTTGCAACATGGAGAAATCATGTACCTATAGTCAGAAGGCTTCTTGCTGCTGGTGCAGATCCTAATGCTAGGGTGTGTCAGTCTTTTTATCCTTTAGATCCCCTTAATGTTTTCGTTTTTTATACATGGATGCATTTTGAGTTGTTACTTCAATAATGTTTATTGTCAAATCATGGTGTAGGACCTGTATCTTAATTACATATGTCACGTTTAAATCTATATTTTCAGTTTTTTCCAGCATGCTTTTCAAGTAACTGGAAGTAGTAGATGGTTGGGAGTCTGTTCTGCAACAGCATTTAGATGTAGGAACTTTCTATAGAGGTTATATACTATAGTCAATTATGTAAGTTTTATTCTGTCCTCCTGTTGTAAAAATCTCCTAAATTAAGTTATATTAGTGACAATAAATTGACTTCTTGTAGCCTTAGATATTCTGTTAGTTGATCTTTTGAGTAGTCAATTTGCATCTTTTGTGAATTGGCGTGCACATTATTTTATTTAGAGTAGGGTTTTTCCTGAAAGAATTTTTGTAGCCGTATCAAATACAAGGATCAAAATTTCGTTTCGAAGTACCGTTTCGGTCAACTCAAAAATAGAAACGTTTCGGAAACATTTCGGAAACGCAATGGAAATGCAGAAAAAATATGGAAACGCATAGAAACACAAATGCAATCCATTAATTTATAAAGATATGCTAAATAATTTATTAATTCAACATATTTATTAGGTTAACATCAATTTATACAAGAATAAATTTAAATTTGAGGGAAAAAAAGGCTTGACTTGAGGCGAAAGTCACTTAAATTAGTTTCAAACACTTAATTTTTATGAAATAAACACATTTTTACATAATATTAAGGTCTTATAATACACATGAAATGCTAATGAGTACATACTTACATGGTTACATCCATTCTCCTGTGGAGTGTCGAGCAGGCTCATACATCGGTGTAGGCTCTGGGTAGTTACTTAGAGAAACTCCATATGTGACATAAATATGATGATAATAGTTACTCCAAATCATATTATTACGGTAATATAATCCAATTAATAATACTATTTTATTATAATACTAATAATTAAGGGTATCAAATTAAATTAATGATACTTATGTATACTTAAAAATTAAATGTAATTGCAGTGGGTATTAAATGTAATTACAGTAGGTATTAAATATAATTACATTAGGGTATTAAATGTAATTGTTAATACTTATAACAAAAAAAAAAAAACAAAAAACTTGCACAGCAGTGAGGTATTAAATATAATTACAGTATGTATTAAATATAATTATAATGGGTATTAAATATAATTATAGTAGGGTATTAAGTGTAATTATTTATTCTTATAACAAAAAAATTATAAAAGATAGAAGAGCAGTGGGAATTAAATGTAATTATAGTGGGATATTAAATATAATTATAGTGAGTATTAAATGTAATTACAGTGAGTATTAAATGTAATTATAATGGGTATTAAATGTAATTATTCATAATGAACCGAATATATCACTGTTTTGTCGAAACGGTTCGAAACAATGCCGTTTCGACCGAAACGGTCCGAAACAATACCGTTTCGACCGAAACGGTCCGAAACAGTACCGTTTCGACCGAAACACTGGAATTTTGTGATTCAACTACTGTTTCGTTTCGGAGTGTTGAAATTCCGAAACGTTTCGGACGTTTCGGACGTGTCGACACGACATTTTGATCCTTGATCAAATATAACAATCTTCTTTTTGTTGTTGTTAGTATCATTAGTAGGACGCCAACTTACAGAGCGTTAAAATATGCACCCCTTGTCAGTGGGCTAATATTGTATTTTCACTTCCATTTTTACTTGCCTTTGTTGTTTTCTGGGAAAAGACAGAGATGTCATTCTTGTTAGACCTAACATAATTATGGATTGTTATGCTATTCTCTAAGGATGGATGCAGGAAAGATAGAGGAGACAGGTAGAAGTTTAAGAAAGATAACACGGAACCTGAAAAAAAACACTAATTTGGGGCAAAACACAACTCGCATTGCAGATTTCGGGGTTGAGTATGGACTCTTTAGTGATACAGTAATTGCTCTATGAAGGTTTTATGATACCGAAACCAAACCTGCTTATGGACTGGCCAGTCATTTTCTATTTCAGGACGGGGAGTCAGGATGGAGTAGCCTTCACAGGGCTCTGCATTTTGGTCATCTTGCGGTAGCAAGCATCATTCTCCAGTCTGGGGCTTCTATCACTTTGGAGGACTCTAAATCTCGAACCCCTGTTGATCTACTCTCTGGGCCTGTGATACGGGCTGTTGGGAACGGAGATAATTCAGGTAGTTGATGTTTTTGCTTATGACTTGGATTGCATCATATGGTTGTTTCAAATCCAATCCAACTATACTTACGAATCCATTTTGTTGCTTGTTTAGTGGCTACCGAGGTGTTTAGCTGGGGTAGTGGTGTCAACTATCAGCTAGGAACTGGAAATGCACACATACAAAAGTTACCATGCAAACTTGATTCATTTCATGGTTCACTTATCAAATCACTTTCTGCTGCGAAGTTCCACAGTGTAGCAGTCACTGGCCGAGGAGAAGTTTACACATGGGGATTTGGAAGGGGCGGTCGCCTTGGGCACCCTGATTTTGATATTCACAGGTAACAAAATGTCCTATCTATCTAGCCACACCTATGAAAATTTGTTGGCTAATTCAAATTTCACATTCCATAATTTTTGGTATCAATTATTGAAACATTTTAAATTTGACATTCGTTTTTGGGTCTGTACTTCAAGAGTCGATAAGAAATCTTGAGTTTGTTATAATTCTGGTTCACCATGATGATACAAATGACATGAATCCTTGCACATAAACTCCCCCGCAAATGTTGGACATTGATATAAGTTTGTGTGCATGTGTTCTTTATTATGTTTTACTGTTTGTTGGGTACTTCTACATGTTCCAGATACAACTCCCATTCATATAGATGGAGAGGTGTATACCAATGTTTAACAGAGTAGGAGGCTTGGTTATGTACATCATCATCATCATCATCTAACATTTTCTCCTTTTAGCTACATGTGGTTGGTAGTTCTATTGAAGAACTTGGAAATCATAAATCCAATGCTTTTTACATCAGTAGTTTTATTGAAGAACTTGGAAATCACAAATCCAATGCTTTTTACATTGGCACTTTTATTGAAGGACTTGGAAATCACAAATCCAATGTCTTTAAATCATATTTGCAGCCATGGTTGTGAAAATCCTTCGGATCTCGGGTTGACTCTTCGATTTGATTTGATTGAACTGAAATTGAGGATCTTTTCGATGCAAAGTGGTATGTCGATTAACGTATTGGAGTGACTCTAATCAAATCCTTCGTGATTCATAAACAAATCTGATGATTCACCCGCCTAATAAATGATCGAGATGATTCAGTAACTTACCCATTTTCTCCTTTGAGATAAAACTTTCTAGAGCACCTTTAAGGGCTTTAGGGTTAACTAGTGTTTGCTTGTACTTGCTTTTTCATTTTGTAATGATGTTGAAGATCTATAAAAACTTTGTGCAATTTCCAAATTTTTTATCCTTCTCTCTTAACATAGTTCCTCCTCCTTGTACCCAACATAGTTAGAAAGAGCTTTCTGGGCAAGAAAATAGAGGAAAAGAATTATCTACTCAGATAAGAGTAAAATAGTTATAAGGGTGATTAGATCAATTAGATTGAAAAATACCAAAAAATTCATACAAATGATAATGGGCGGATGCTTATACCACTCAATGAAAAATAAAAATTTGGAAAACTCAAAAACCTTCGGCAGAGATTGTGAATCTGTTAAAATTTAATACTCAACATTGGTGTGAAGTTATGCTTTGACAACACTTCGTATATTATAGTAATGAAATTTGTAAATTGGTATGGGAAAGGCATAGATTCCCTTTTTCTCATGAGATTGTTACTTTCTTTTTCTAAATTTAAATGTTTGCATAAGTATGACCAAGTCATACCATATCTTGAATAATTATTTTAATCATTGTGTTGTTATGTAGCCTAATTTATTTCGAGTATACTTTTGTTGTATTTTGTTAAGTTCAAATGTATATATCATTTATTTTCAGTTTTCTAACTTGCAAACAAATCTTATGATTCTTGATTCAATTCGATTCTCAATCCGGAGACACAGATTTTGATATACAATATGAATCTCGATTTGCCAACTATGTTTGCAGCGGCCAAGCTGCAGTTATCACTCCCCGGCAGGTGACTTTTGGTTTAGGGGCCCGCAGGGTGAAGGCTATTGCAGCGGCTAAACATCACACTGTCATTGCAACAGAGGGCGGGGAGGTGTTTACTTGGGGTTCAAATAGAGGTAGTAGTCTTGAGATTTGATTAAAGTTGCAAGTTGAATCCCACAATCACATGATCTTTCTTTTAACTGTCATGTCCACCTCTACATAACACTAGCTTTAAAGGTACTTGCCCTTTTATTATCTCGGCCAAAAAGTTGAAATTGAATCACTGTACTTGAATTTCCTTTTACTTTGTTCTGCATTTTAGTTCAATATGAAGCTGAAACAAGGGAGTGATAAAAGCTTTCTTTTAGCAGTCTAGTTTATCCTGATGACTTTTGCATTATTGGCCTTTTATTTTTATTTTGTGCAGAGGGTCAGCTTGGCTATACTTCCGTGGATACCCAGCCCACACCAAGGAGAGTTAGTTCCCTAAAGTCAAAAATTGTTGCTGTTGCTGCAGCAAACAAACACACTGCTGTAGTTTCTGATTCGGGTGAGGTTTTCACATGGGGATGCAATAAAGAAGGTCAGCTTGGATATGGCACCTCTAACTCAGCTTCAAATTACACTCCAAGAGTGGTTGAATACTTGAAGGGCAAGATTTTCACTGGAGTTGCAGCAGCAAAATATCACACAATTGTTTTAGGAGCTGATGGAGAGGTATGCTTGAACAGATATGCCACTTTTACCGCTATAACTACCATTAGTACTGCTGACTTGTTGCACTTGTTTCCTATGATTTGCAGGTATTTACTTGGGGTCACCGGCTTGTTACTCCAAGACGTGTAGTTATAACTAGAAATATTAGAAAATTTGGGAGTTCTCCATTGAAGTTTCATCGTAAGGAACGCCTACATGTGGTTGCTATAGCTGCAGGGATGGTACACAGCATGGTTCTTACAGACGATGGTGCCTTGTTTTATTGGGTGTCCTCTGATCCTGATCTTCGATGTCAACAGGTTTTGTTTGACTGAATTAAGCTTGTGTTCGGGTTTATTGTACTCTCACTGGTCCTGATTGATACATTTTTATTTTTTCGTAAATTTTAGCTATATTCGCTGTGTGGTAGAACTATGGCCAGCATTTCTGCGGGGAAGTACTGGACTGCAGCAGTTACAGCTACAGGTGATGTCTATATGTGGGATGGGAAGAAAGGAAAGAATGAGCCCCCAATTGCAACTCGGCTACATGGTGTAAAGCGGGCTACTTCAGTTTCAGTTGGAGAAACACATCTTTTGATTATTAGTTCTCTCTATCATTCTTTCTATCCTGCATACATTTTGGATAACACTCAAAAGCTAAAGGTAAACATTAGGAAGGAATTAGAGGAGGTAGATGAAGATTTTGTGTTTAACGGCATGGAGTCTGATGAAATATTATCCACTATGCGGGAGGATGACCTAGATTTGAGGCCCATACCAAGCTTAAAAAGCCTTTGTGAGAAAGTGGCTGCAGAGTATTTAGCGGAGCCACGAAGTGCTGTACAACTGCTTGAAATTGCAGATTCACTAGGGGCAGATGACCTGAGGAAGCACTGCGAGGTAGTTTACCAGATGGCCTATTTTATTTTCCTTAAATATCTATATGTCCTTTGAATAGGTTTCAGGGTACCATCTATCTATCTATATAATAAAACAGAACATTCTGGTTGTATAAAATACAACAACGGTTCAGACTGTTTACATCCGACAACCCATCATATAACTTACATTTTAAATTTTTAACTACATTAAATTTGCTTATTTAAACATTTTAAATACTGTAAACATTTTAACTATATTTAATTTTTAACTACACTATACATTTTAATCACGGTAGATAAAGCTTGCTTTGCACAAAATACCCTAGTTGCTTATACTCAATGCTACATGTCCAAATCAAGAGTTTTACAAGACTCATTGAGTAAAGGGGTCTAAAAAAATCCAGAGTGTATGTATCTTTTTTCGTTGTAAATGGTTGCCTGGTTTTTATCTTGTAGAATTAAGCAATTTTGAATTTTGTTCGTGAATTATGAGTAGGTCTCAATCAACTAGCAGTTGCTGAGCTGATTTAGGCGTGTGCATAGGGATTTGGCATTCCTTTTGATGAAGGATACTAATGGCTGTTCAATGTGATTTATTGCAACCAAGTTGCTGGTTGCCACTTTGAACAGATGATATTTGCTGGTCCCCAACTAACTTGATGTGTGTTCCTCAGTGCTTGTATACCATAATGCCTTGAATCACGTTTCAATAGTTCCTGACTAGAGACTATAACGAAGCTGTCTGGGTTAATCCGGCTTCTCAAACCAAAGGTGCCTGAAAGATGCAGCATACTCATTAATGTACGCTGGGGCCACGAAAGTGGTGGCCCGAGGCCAAAACTGGCCTAATTTCAAGGTGATCCATTTATGGATATAAGCCATTTCCTACCCAATCCAGCTGGTTTTTATTATGTCAACCTGGCAGTTCTAAAGAACTGCACCTTGTGTTGCTATTCAAAAAGGAAGTCCTATGTGTAACTCATAAGACACTGACCTGAGAGGAGAAGGTAATGGTCAATGACGGCTCAAGGCAGCCCCAGTTACCATGTTAATAGCGCGTGGCCTGATTCTATCTCCATTATAATTAATTGTACAAGCACAACTACTATAACACAAAAAGGTATCATATGCATGCATGCATAGGTATGCATTAAGATACACATTGGCTTACTCTTTATTTTATTTTGTATGTTTTTTTGTGTTTTCTTGTTGGGGACAACCGGACAAGTAATATGCATGTAATAACTGATATAATTATTAGCGAATAGATGTGCATATATGTGTAGCGAATATGTGTGCATATACACATTTCTTATAATTAGACACACGGTGGAACCTCTGACTATTTGAGTATCTGTGACATGTATTTAGTGCAAAAAGTACCTTATGTGAAGTGCACGTGGTACATATGTTGACTTAAGTTCCCGAGTAATAAAATGTGAGTCATAAGATAAGGTATTCTTGTATGATTTGTTTGACCTTTTGACTAAACAGTTAATTCAGGGAGATGATTCCCTGTTCACTGAACTGTTTTGGGTTGAGAATGATATGGTGGACCAAAGCCCTGGTTTCTACAACTTTAGTTTACCGATTTTTGTGAACTTGTATTGCCCATGAATGTATAGTTTGTGGAGTGCAGAGTTTATATTTAGTAAAATGCAGTCTTATAAAGTTACAAAACATAATGCTTTAATGCACAAAATTTTGCTATATGTCAATTAGAGGCCACTAGGATGATTATTCTTCTACTTATTTCCTAGAAACTGCCTTATGAACAAGCTTGCTTGCCTCTATTATTCTCTGGAGTTTTTGGCAGAAAATTGTCTGTAATACATCATCCCTTTTTTCGCTATAGTCCACTTCTGGCACATTTTCCTGTGATGAATGAAAAATGATTGTGTTGGATATATTTTGGTAAAAAAACACTTATGCGATAGACTTCCAATCAAACATAATTCCACGGGTAGTGTTCAATATTAATTCTATGATGTTATAGTTTTTGGCGTCATCCTTTGAAGCTAATGGCTTGCAGTTAGATCTTACTTACTGAAGTTGTCCCAAAAACTTACTGCAGGAGATTGCAATTCGTAACCTTGATTATATCCTCACTGTCTCACCCCATGCTATTGCTAGTGCTTCATTGGATATTTTAGCCAATCTTGAGAAATTGCTGGATTTGAAATCATCTGAGCCATGGAGTTATCGACGGCTCCCAACCCCAACGGCTACTTTTCCTGCGATTATTAACAGTGAAGAAGAGGATAGCGAGACTGAATTTCTTAGGACTCGTGACAATCATTCAAAGAAACCAACCTCAAAGAAAGCAAGTGACCACAGATTGGATAGCTTTTTACAGCCGTATGATGATGCAACTGAAGGCATTGGCAAACAAGTTCGAGCTTTGAGGAAAAAGTTACAGCAGATTGAGATGCTTGAAGAGAGGCAATCTAAGGGGAATCATCTTGATGACCAGCAGATTGCTAAGCTTAAGACCAGGTCAGCATTGGAGAGCTCTCTTGTTGAGCTTGGTGTCCCACTTGAGACGGTGCAGGCAAAGGCATCTTCTTCAGATTCTCCTGATGGGAAAGGGAGTAAAAAGGTGGAGGTATCAAGAAAACAGAAGAGAAAGAGCAAACAAAAGGCAACACAAGTACAAGTGGTGCCCAGTAATTGTGGGATCAGTCCTGAACCAAACACTGTGAAAGGTTTCTTGGATGTTGAAGTCTCTCAAGTCAAGGATAAGGTGAGTGTCCAAAAGTTCCACTGTTATCAAATATTTGAAGAGGAAAAAATATTGAAGGGACATTGAATTTATTACAGTAGATGTGGTAGCACCCCAATGAAGTAGAGCGACAAGTTATTTTTGCGTACAGGAGTTTCATATGCTGAGTTGTATTCTTGGTGGCTTTGCTTGGTTGAGTTTTTAATATACTGTGTAACAATTTTGTTACCCAATTAGTGCTTAATTTGAAAGACGGTAGCCTTTATATACTATCCAGAGGAAAACAAAAGAAGGCATAGGTAAGGATTTAAATGGTAATTGGACAGAGAGACAAATAGCTTGACTCTACTTTTTTTTTTTTTTTTGTATGTGGATGGTAGGGTAAATGTATTTGGACAAGAATTTTAAATGAAATTTTCAATTTTTCCAAGTTTTAAACCATGCAGGAGACTTTGACTATGAACTTTGTCTGTTGTTACGTAAACAATAACCTGACATATATATTGATGCTAGAAACCGTCAGAGCCAGTTTTATTATACTTTAATCAGCTACTTATAGATGGTACTTGCTTTTTCAAGTAGATCATAAGAAATGTAATCTCTGCGTGGTGGCACTCCCATTTTTAGTTCCTTTATTTAAAAATTTGTTATAAACAACTACTATTTTCATTTTGGCTTAGCTTTATAAGTTGCTTGATAATGGGGAATGGTTTTTCATCCTCATATCTTGAAGTCACTGTTCTTCTGTTGGTATGCTTCAAATCAGTAAGTATGCGAAGATTGATAAATGATATTTCTATCATTAATAAATGATATTTGAATAATCTATTCCTTTTTGCCGTTTGATAGGTGCATAATGCTGGGTTCTTGGGGCCCGTTGCTAATCAAGTCAGAAAATTGTCTCCTTCCTGCATTAAGAAAGACCTTACGGACATTCCAACAAATAAAAGTTCTTCACTGACAGCATCGAAGAAAAAGAATAAAAAAGGTGGCCTCTCCATGTTCTTGAGTGGTGCTCTTGATGGTATTACGGAAGATGCTGCTCCAACACCACCAATGCCCAAAAGTGAGGGCCCTGCTTGGGGTGGTGCTAGAATTTCTAAGGGATCTTCCTCTCTTCGTGAGATACTGGATGAGCAGAGCAAATCCCAGGAGACCAAGCCAACTAGAAGCAAAGATCAGGTGGAAGATGTTTCTAATGGGAAAGCTGGTGGGAAACTTCGATTGAGTTCGTTTTTGCCTTCCAATTCAATACCTGTGCAATCGAGTCAGACGTCACAGGTGCCTGATGGAGAAAGTAGCACCCCTCCTTGGGCTGCTTCTGGGACTCCACCTCTCCTTTCTCGACCATCTTTCAGGGATATCCAATCACTACAGGTGTGTGAATTCACCCGTGTATGCCTCTACATGTGTGTGTTTGTGCGGTGTCATGTGCATAGTTTGGACCCGTTGCATATGAATAAATTTTGAATATGAGGTTGTAGAAGAGTAAAGAAGTGATAGACTTTTTGGTTGGACTTAATACTGTTAATGGCAAACACCATGACAACTGTTTGGGTAAACACCCCAGAGAATGCAAATGAAGTTGCTGTTCAATATTTTTATTATTCCACATTGCATATATTAGTTGCTTCTGCATGATTGCAATACTGAAATGATGTTTTGTGTGCGAAAACTTTGCTCGACGTCCTTTCCAATTTCCACCCTTCCAGTGCAACTTAATATCTGTCTAGTGATCTTATGAGGAGTCCCATTGTCGGATAGGAGATTATTGATAATGGTATTACTCGTCTCAATTTTTGAAAATTCTCTTGGGTGTAAAAACAATTAGAATGAAAAAATGTCAATTCACATATCCTGCATTCTTTGGGATGTTTGCTGTTCAATACTATTAATATTCCACATTGCATATATCAGTTGCTTCTGCATGAAAGAGTGCAATACTGAAATGATGTTTTGAATCCGAAAACTTCCTCATCCCTAGCCACCTTTTTTCAACTTTGCTCAACTTCCTTTTCAATTTCCACCCTTCCTACATGGGCTAATTTTTTGGGTATAGGGCGTGCATTAATTTTCCAGTGCAAATAGTATCTGTAAGCGATCTTATGAGCAGTCCCATTGGTCGGATGGTAGATTATTGATAATGGTATTACTTACTAGTCCCAAAATTTTTGATAATTTTCTTGGTGTAAAAACAATTAGAATGAAAAAATGTCGACACACACACACACACAGATATATATTTCCTGGAAATTTTAAAGATTATGTTGTATTTTACTATTTTTTATTGAGATATAGCTTCACTGGGGGTCTTCATTCAAAACACAGTTGGAATATTTATGTACCCCTAAACAATGTCCCCATAAAAATGAATATAAAAGATGAAATGGGAAAATTGACCATTTAAATCCAGCATTCGAAACCATTTGAAACTTCCACTTCCATAGTTCCCTGTCTACTTGGATAGCGATTAACATGCCGGGTTTCTAATCAGTAATAGAGAAGGAGATCAGAAACTCATTTGATGTGGTGAACAGCCTGATATCCTTGTGAATGTCTTAGATTTACTGTTGTACATCTGTCTAAACCGAAAGTTGGTATCTGAATTGTCACTCTTTTTTATTGTCATGGAGTGGATTTTAAAACTCTAAAATTCATACTAGGGTGAACTCTTTTTCAACTCTTTTTCCGTTTCATTGCAGCAGGGGAAACAACACCAGAGTCTCTCCCACAGTCCAAAGACACGAACCACTGGATTTTCTGTTACTACTGGTCAAGGCTCACCATCAGACTCTACCGGTCCGAGTCGTTGGTTCAAACCTGAGGTTGATACCCCCTCCTCTATCCGTTCAATTCAGATGGAGGAAAGGGCTATAAAGGATCTAAAACGTTTTTACAGCAGTGTTAAGGTTGTGAAGAACCAGTCTTGAGGAGGACCGTGTATGTGTTGGGCATGGTTTTTCAACCCAAAAGATGCACATAGTAGGTGGAGTGACCCGCTCCCTTATATGGCCTAGGATCCCCTCCTCACTGATGTGAGATTCGCTTGACACCTCAACAGTATGTTCATCTGGTAGGTAGCTTTTGTTTTCGTTTACCATTCTGAATTCTTTCATTTTAGTTCAAAGGCAATGCTGTAAATTGACTGTATAGATGATTTAACTGTACATTCGGTTCTTCTGTATTTTTTAGTCTATTTTCAGTGTAAGCTTCAGCCATTCGCCTTACGTTGGCCGATTATTTACCCCTCGCAATTAAATTTGCTGGTTCTTTATTCCCATCTTCCAAAACTTGTTTTGAACATGAGAATTTTCTACGAAATTAATGTTGGTCAAAGTTAGAAAGCTCAATATAGTTAAACTAGTGTCACAATCTGAACGAAGTGACAAATGCTATAGTGTTTACTGCAGTGTCTGAACTGTTCATTGGTCCCTTGATGAGGGGCTTGAGGAATCCTTAGGTGGCCTTTTCAGGATTCCCAGGACTTGGTGCAGGCCCTTAAAATTATCTTGTCTCTCAAGGAAAACTGGAATCAGGTTGAAAAATGTTTAAACTGGAAAATAGTACTTTTGTTTTTTTTGGGTACAGAGAATCGTCTCAACGATTTGTCATTTGGACTCATGGTTGTAATGAAAATGTCGGGTGCATGCGCATAACCATTTACATTCCACGTGCAAAGATGAAACTCGGGTTTTAGGCCATTAATGAGACTTAGATTGAGGACTTGTAGGTTTACACCTTTCTTTATTCAGCCAATGAATTTGATGATGCACAAATTGGGTTTGTATAGCACCTGTCAAATGAACAATATAGAGACAAAAGTAAGACAAAGTTTATAGTGGTTCAGTCAACGTGATTTACGTTCACTTTGAATGGTTAGAATCGTCAGGTATTTTATTAACTTAAGCGTATAGGGAGAACACAGAGTTACAAGCTAAGAGAGATAGGAGAGAGTTGTGCTTGACTGAACCCTCCAGTGTTGGCAAGATTTACAATTTATAGTTGCCTCCTAACAGATTAAGACAACTTAATAGTAATTAAATGACTAATTTGGTGGAGCTGTCGACCTCTTCTCAGCGGGTGAGGCAGTAACGGTGCTCTTCATAGGATTTAGTTGAGGGGTGACGTGGCGGTTGACTCTTTCCAAGACGGCGTAGATGAGGCTCGTGAATGACCATGCATACTTCTTGTTGATGTAACTCCTTGAACTTGATGAGGTTGATCGGACGTGGACTACTTTGGGCTGGACTTGTTAGATCTTTTTAGAGTTGGGTTATTAATTTAGACTGAACTTATAACATGAGTTGGGCCTTTAAACTTAGCTCGTCAAAACAAATTATTGCAGGTTAAACAAATTAAATGAAGAAACACCCGAGACCAATTTTTCAAGAACTAGAAAAAAACCGTCAGAGATGAGGAACAGAGACAGACAGACCAAGATGTAAACAAGACAGATCCTTTGAAGCATGGGTCTTGATCTTGAACGCTGAAGTTAAAAAGCAAACGAGGAGGAGTGATTCCTTACCACTATGACCAATCGATCTATCACCCAACTTACTCTAACAATCTAATGGCTTGGTCCCGTCCTGTTTGGACCACTCTTGAACCTCGAGGGTCGTTGACTCCAGTAATTGATTTATAACAGTAAATTGGATACCACTAGATCATAATTATCTCAATGTGTGTGTGTGGTAGAACTTTTATGACTTTGGTCTTCCTTTAAATAGGTCCAATTACAGCTTATCTTTCTCCAAAGCTGGTTTAGTGGTTCGAGCTGTAGCTTTGGACTACTGGATTGCTCCACCATCAAACAATTTCAGATACTTGTTTCCTCTTGAATTCAAAGAAAACTTAGACAATTACTTGTAACATGATATACATGTTTTACACTTGAGATTCCTCTAAGTGGTTGTGCTTTTTTTTTTTCTCTCTTTTTTCTCCCCTTCTCAGAAAAGTATAGGACTACCACGTGAAACCTCTTAAAAGACGACTTGACATAATCGGATTACATCCCTTCCAAATCATTCGAAATAACTCAGTAGTCTATTTCCCTTGAATTGAATAAGTTGTGTTTTTTACTTGGTTTGGTCTTAGGGGATTGCATTATGGTACCGAAAAAGAAATTTTCATGTTGTACCGAAAGTTATTACTTCTAATGTTAACGTTTTTTAAATATAAAATTACAACTGATCGAGATAATTCATGATTTACTTGAATCGGCTATAATTTATCTTTTAAAAGTGATAACTTTTATGATTAATTATAATATTTTGAAATCGATCATAATTTTTACAATTGTAACTTATGGCTCAAAAAATTATAATTTGACATTAGAAGTTATAAATTTCTGCAGTAGTCATCCTTGGTCTAAGGGGTTATCTCCGATGGGTTTTTTTCTTCTCTCATTTTCTACCTTCTCTCTTTTTACCAAGTTTGGTGTGGTAGGTTCAGTGTTGTGGTTCAGTGGGGTACAGGTTAAACTTCTCACATTGAGGTTGGAGATTTGAGTCTTCAGGGTTATATTGGGGCGTAGTGGTAGATCACTATACTAACCTAGCTAGTTCATTCCCAAGAGAAGTAATTGACGCGATCAAGAACTTCGTGATCCCACTAAGACCTATCAGGATGGTCTTTGAACGCTCTTTTTGGCCCCGCTCCTTTTTCAATATCATAAAAAAAAAAAGTTTGGTGTGTAGGGGATCTCTCTCTCTATCTCTGTCTCTCTCACACACACAACTAGTGGAAATGAAATCATGCTTTCATTTGGACGGTGACTCTCCTACTTCATGATGCAGATATCCTCCTCCTATACTTTAATCCTTTCTTGTGAATCCATTCCAATTTTCACAGACCAATAATATTCAATAATAAAGTGCAGTTGAGCATGCCTTTGTCCCCTTCCGTCCTACCTTGGTCCTCGTTATTTTCAGTGCTCTCTTTTTCCTCAGTCATAGGCTGTAAAAGCCTCAGCATTCTCTCTCCTCTCTTCATAAAAGCCTCAGAATAAGACAACATCAACCCTCCAAAACCCACCAGCTTTTTCATTATTTTATGCACCAATATGACCTGTCTATCATGTGCTAGTCCAGTCCACCTTTACTTTTTTGTCCTCTCCAATGTTACCGTTTTCTTCTCCAACTGCTTGATGCATATATCAGTTGGTGTGTAAGTAAGAGGAAGATTGGGTATTTGAGTGCTTGCAGCTTTGTGGGTTTTGATTGTTGAATCATGAGAGAGAGAGAGAGAGAGTGAGAGTTTTGTTGAAGAAGGATGGAACAGGGGTGTTTGGAATGAAGTTTGATCCAAGATCCTTACATGCAATTCATGGAGAGATCTCGGACCAGGCTTCGTTCCTCACATCTAACTTTCCTGCAGGCACATACATCCGACTAATTCTATGTAAGGCTCTGTAAGCTCTCATCTTGATCAAGATTTCTCTTTAAAGAGCTTAAATGAGTGAGAACAAGTCAGTCAGGTCAGGTAAGCTATCATTGATCTTGATTTTATCTGATCAAGTTTTTGATTATCATTCTTATGGTTTGGATTATATATTTTCTTTGATTTATTTTCCAGAAAATATTTAGAGTCATTGCTGTTAAGGTGTATGACACGACTTGAAATTAGAGGGTTTAAATATTTATTAAATCACCCGTTTAATAAATGAGTGTACTCGACATGACGTGATAAATAAACGAATTACGTATGCGTGAAATCAATCAAAAAAATACACGATACGACTCGTTATCGATTATACGTGATTCATACATGATGCGAATCTGATGTGATACGATTATTGGATACAATTAATAAACGAATTGGGTATAGATGTAATATATTTTACACGAACCCTCTAAGACTTGATACGAAGCCCGCTCACTCGACACGATATTGATAGGCCTAATTGCGATTTATTTAGGCTTTTTCAATCTTCCATTGATCTGCTCTCTTTTTTTCCCCCTTTTTTTGATCAGACATGTAGTATTTCATGGAGGGAGACGACAAGGTTCGAATCCGCAACCTTAAGATCCAAAAACGGAGCGGTGGCCATTAGGCCAACTGCTAACCTCTATTGATCTGCCATTAAGTGTATGGATCAGGGGTGGATTTGCAGCGCGAACAGCTACCCCACTGGAATTTGAAAAAATATTATGGTGTAATTGAAATTTTTGAAGTTTTAGAATTTGTTAACGATTGCCCCCACTGAAAAATTTTTAAACTTAAGGATAATAATGTATAATTTCAATCATGTGGGATCCCTCTAAACGTTAGCAAAACTAAAAAGTTACTTTATCAGGGCACAGGCCCTGTTTCCTTTATTCCGGCCAGAACTCTATCCGTTTCCTTTGTGATCTTTGTTTGTTCGACGTCCATGGATCCTTAGGCTCTTTCTTTGTTCTAGCTCTACACTCTGGAAATTCGTTCTCCTCAGTTTTTTACTCATTCTTTAGTGATACCTCTCTATTTTTGACTTCAATTGTTATTGCCAAGATCTATCGGGAAAATAGCTAAAAAAGATGTGAACTTAAGAGATTCTTTCAAAGTTGGTTTGTCGGGAGGTAAACCATAAACAATTTATTTGATTTCGATCATTATTATATGTTTTAATTTTTGGGCCAGTGATTAGGGTTTTCAAATAAACAAGAAAGTCCAACTGTGTGTTAGATAATATTGCATGAAACCCTTTCTTATTCTTACCCCCCATGCCCATGCCCACCCCAACATACACACAGAGAGAGAGACACACACACCCCCAATACACACACATCTCATTGAGTATTCACAAATGCTATGGGGACAGATCTTTTCAGTTTTCTATATATCACCAATCCTAGTAGGTATAGGAGGTGTCATAATTACTTGTGTTATTGACCGATTCCTTAGCTAACAGCTAGCTATTATCACGACACTACCAATTCTTTTGCAACCCAATAGTGGTGTTGTACACACACACACACACACACACACATATATATATATATGAATTTATAGAGATGTATATGCTAGTGTATGTGCCACTTGATACATTGGATTATGTGTGTTCATTTAAGTGAAACTGTCGTTCCAAAGCTTTCTAGAGGTGCCTACAAGGGAGTGAAAATAAACAAGAGAACCTGATTTCTGCCATAAATCAACAACAAAAGTGGTAAATATGTTGGTCGTAAAATGACCCACAAAAGTTATAAAAATGTCCTTTAAAGTAGTAAATTTTAGAGATATGGTACCGAAATTTATAGTCAAGTCCTATAAATTAAGTACTTGGTCAACGATAAACTTTTTAGAT